CCCGGCGTGAATATCGAGAAGACCCATTCCCGGGAAGACACAATAATTGCCGATAAAGTAGACGTCATTCGGAGCCGTCAAGTGTCACGATCGGGGCCCACGATGTCTTTTTACATTAAATACTAGTGTACTTTTTCTCCTATTTTTTAATTGGCCCACTTGTAAAAAAGGGCATGTATATATAGAGTGAGGAGAGAGAAGAGAAAGGAGAGACTATTCCTTCATCTTCTACAACACACAAAATGAAGACAATTAGGGGATCTTCATCTCCTAAACATTTAATAAAAGTAGCATATTAATCCAACACCGATTATTCACAGAATAGGGGTGTACATTTTCGTTGATACAATTCCGTTTATCAACAATTATCTTAACACGTTTTATTACAGTTTGTTTGAATTTATCATGTAATTTAGATCGTATTTTGACACTTGAATATATTATTTCTTACTTGTCTGGTTTTATAATTTATAATGTATCTTATTTATTAACTATTATTTTATATACATATACTTACAATTCCTTTATTTGTGAACCATTCTTTTATTTAAATAAATACCATATTATTATCTAGTATATTCATATTTTTAGGAAGGCTTTAAATATAAATTATTATTTAACATACATCATAAATAATTCACCGTGATTCAACATATCATGTACATGTAAAAATAAATTTACTTTTATATTAATGAGAAATAAAAAACAGACAAAATATTTTAAAATGCCTATCTATAAATGGTAATAACAAATTTAGGTCCACTTTTACTATTAACCTATTATTAAAAATGAAAAAAAAATAATTAACGGAGGTTGAAGCACGTTTAATAAAATAATAAAAAATTGAAACTAACTTTCCATAAATAGTAATATAATGAGGGATCCACTAAAACACTTACTATTTTTAGTAAGTGGGTTGCCTAATTATATAGTAATAGATACAGTTGGTCCATTTAACTCATGCGTGACAGATGACATGGCTAAATATAAAAAAGTCATCAATTAAAGCTTTTTTTTTTTGCATTCTTAGATTCTATTTTGAAATATAACACGCATAGTGACACAACCCAACCATCTTTAAAAAACCGGGCCTAACATCTCGTGTTACGTTCAACAATTTCACAAATTATTAAATTCTTAGGATGATTTTTTTTTTTTTAAACTTTTGCGGGTGATCATGTCTCAATTCCATCAAATTTCCAGTCGATGTTGGAACACATTCAGACAACTCATTTTTCACTTTATTCAAGGCAGACTTATTCTTAGGATTTTCAAGTTTATCACTCACAAAACCATGTGAATTAGAAACATCAGGTGTAAGAACATCGATAGATAGATCATCAAAGACAACATTGATTGATTCCATGACAGTCTCAGTATGAAAATTATAGATTCTACAAGCACGACTATTTGTTGCATTCCAAAAAATTGACCAACGTTGCTTTTAGACTCAAATTTACCTAATGTTCTCTATCATTGTAAATGTAACAACGAAATCCGAACACGTGATAATATTTCACATTGGGAGACTTACCTTTCCAAATCTCATAGGAAGTCAGTCTTGTAACTTTTCAGCAATAGACACGATTGATGATGTAGCATGCGGTGTTAACAACAACAGCCCACCATCTTAAAGACATTTCTTGTGACACAAGCATGATTCTTGTCATCTCCTGCTAGTTTATGTTCTTTTTTCGGCAACTCTATTTTATTGTGGAGTAATGGGAGAAAAAAATTGATGATATATTTCTCGTGAGTCACAAAAACTAGCAAAACTAATATTCTCAAATTCTTCCCATGATCACTCCTAATGGAAACAACTCCAAATTTTTCTCATTCTCATTTTTCAAGGCAAGTTTTTGAAAAGATTCTAATGCATCAGATTTTTCTCTTAAAAAGTCTACCCAAGTTTATCGAGAGAAATCATCTACACACAATAATATATTTCTTACTATCGTAGCTCAATATGAATTGGACCTATCAAATCCATATGAATTAAGTCTAAAATATGTTTCTTGTTGTTGAGTGGTCATCTGACTCGTCTCGCTGGGCCTGGGTTGGCCGCTGGTCAGTTCCAAAAAGCACCCAGTTTGTCCCAAACCGCACCCGGTCACTCCCGAAATTGTCCTAGTATCTCCGCTTCAAGATGAAACAAAAAATACTAATAAATAATCAAATACAAACAACCTATTAATATAGATAAATTGACAAAACTGAAAAAGAAATAAAAAATCAATAGGAACGAATACATCCTTTCCGTGTTCACGTATGAGGGCCTGAATGCCACGAAGATAGGTCGAAATTGATCAGACTCAGTCACGACCTTCTGTCAATCCCTCAAATGAGTTACCAAAGAACCGATCATTTGGACCCGCAGCCACAATAACTCCATCACTGAAATCCCAACGGTGCCACCGGTCGTCGCATAAAGCTCGGCCCGAAAACAGTCGTACACGAAACCCCCAAAATCCCCTCTCACAAAGACTGACTCGGCAGACACGATGAAGACCCCTAGCACACTCACAATCTTATCATCACCAAGATACAATAAAGAGTTTAGCAAGAGCAAGAGTCGAGAGAGCAACAAAGAGAGTATATTGACAGTTGCAAGTGATGTAAACGGGGAAAGTATCTTTATAATATCTTCAACATCAAAAATACTGACATTTAAAAAATTTCTTTAGTAGCGTCTTTGTACCAAAAAAAAATAAAAAAAAATCACTTCGAATTAAAAGAAACTTTTCATAAAAGATGTCATAATATTCCACAAAGGTAACACCAAATTATATAAGGAAAAGAGAAAAGAAATCACCCTTGTTTTCCACACCAGAATCATGACAAAGTTGGTAGTGATGGCACCCCATTTACTTAGTTGCCGGAGTTGAAGGCTCCGGTAATCCTTTTAACGTTAAACAAATCAAAATTTTTTAGCATTTACGTTATGTGCTACTACAATCTGTCCGCAATCATTTCGTCGGAGTTTGTAACCGTTAGATCAACTATCTCCGACGGTTACATGATGATGTAACTGTTACAAACATTGACTAAATGGTTCCATAACAATACTATAACATTTCACTATGTTATAATAACCTACACACAAAAGAATGTCTTAAAACAGCATAATGAATCTTAAGTAGGGAGCAAAGCCGGACATAAAGACAGCATGCTCTCATCTCCAATAATTATAATAATAACAGGTAAACATTATTATCAACAATAATAATAATTTTTTTTTTTTTTTTTCCTTTTAAACGCAATCATCTTTTCATTCCTTCAAAAAAAAAAAAAAAAAAAAAAAACTCCTAAACTAATCTCAAGTCCTACATAAATTGTTAGATTGTAGGCTTGAAAGAGAGAGAGAGAACGAAGGAAGCTCAAAAAAAACAAATATTAATAAAATTGTGAAAATTAATCGCCAGATTAACTGCCGATGGACAGCTTTTCGCGCTACACGAGCGGCAACTGCCACAAGTCAGCGTACGACGGCGTTTTCGGGGCACAACAGAAGTTGAGTAGTCTGCCCCCATCAACGCTCGCCCCACGCCTCGACGAGTATGCTGAGATTTTCGGCGGCTATCAGGCGGCGGCGGCCTCGCCGCCCTTCTCGGTGTTTGTCCTCGATCTCCCGCTCGACGATGGCTCCAACAAGCTCCTTCGCGAGTTTGACTACGCAGAGGTTTTTGGGGATTGTGAGGACGTGGCCTTCGGCTCCACTATTGAGGATTTGGTCAGGCAGTGTAGCGGCGGCGACAGAGGCTATGGCTCCTCGGATTACGGCGAAGATGAATCATGGTATTTTTTTACCTTCGTTTACTCTTTGATTTTCTCGCTATCAAATAAAACTTATAAGTGATTTTCGATCTTATAGTTTAGTGTTTATGACTCGTAACTGAATAGTCGGCTTATATGATAGAAGAGTGGTAAAATTAGCTGATACGTTTGATGTTAATTATAATCATGAGCTTATTTGAAAAATTATCCAAAGAAAACTTATGAGATAAACTCGAGCTTTTTAAAAGTTCGTTCAACCAAACGAAACTTATTTGAATATAAGAAGTTTATAAGCTAACCAAATAAGTTATAAGATAACTTATATGGTTATCAAACACCGCCTAAAAGGTGACAAAGTAAAAATGATTTTTTATTTTTTTCAGTGATGCAATACCTTGGGTCGTCAAAGCTTTATTAATTTGGTTCGACAAAGCTTTAGAACATGTTGTTCATATTGATAAACGAGTCGAACTCACGACTAGGCTCAATAAAGGCTCGAGCTGGCCTCAAGCATTAGGAGCTAGATTCGGTTCGTTTACAAGCTAAGATGTGTGTGTTGGTCTTGTGTTAGTCGGCCTAATCAATAGGTTGATATACGATGTAAATAAGTATACATTTTTGTTTGAAGAAATATAAGAGGTCGACCTCCATCTCATACATTAAATTGTGAAGTTATGTAGTTGGCGAACGAATGTAAAATCTCAGAGCATGAATATAAGATTTGTCAAAAAAGTCCAATCATTTTTAATCAATTATTTTTTTATTCAAATACTAGTATAATTTAACTTTAATTCAATCTCACTGTATTCAATATTATCACTATAATTAAATAATATTGATCAATCATTCTTTTATATTATTTTAATATTTGTCCAAATCATATATCTCATACTTTTACATCAAAATCCACTATAATTATTTTATTTTAAATATTATTTTAATACAAAATCAAAATCTCACTCTCAACTAACCATACTGTATTTTTTATAATTAAACATACACAACCAAAAAATTCAAAAAAAAATTAAAAAATAAATCTTATATCTAAGCATCCCCTCAATCGTAGTTTCACAACACTTTTACTTTAAAGTTGAGCACACAAGTTGTGAAACGAAATTAAATAAAAATGACTTGATAAAGTATTAACCACAAAAAAAAATTTAGGTGTCAAATAATGGCAAAATTACATATTAATATACCATATTTCATGTTTTTTCAATTTAATCACCACCTTAGTAATTTTGCAAATCAATACACCATCTTTACCATTTTTGCAAATTGATACATGAATGACGATTCCGTTACCAAAAATGCCATATCATATTTTCGTTAGATTTTTGTTAACAGAACCGTCATTCATATATTGATTTGTAAAAATGGTAAAAGCGGTGTATTAATTTGCAAAATTGCAAAGGTGGTGATTAAATTGCAAAAACATGAAATGTGGTGTATTAATATACAATTTTGCCTAAATAAACACCAAAATCTAAGGGAGTGATTGGAAAAATTTTAGTTTTGTTTAGATTTATTGAATAACGATGACTTATTCAATAAACTGTGATTGAATGGAGGATTGAAAAGAATTTTGAATTTATATTTAAATAATATTTAAATATAATGATTAAAATTGCTATGATGTAAAAGTTGGAGATATGTAATTGAAACTGATGTATAGTTAAAATAGGGAAATTTCATTACAAGACACAACTTCTTTTAGTATTGTATCAATTTAAGGTCTGATTTTTATTTTTTCTCAATATAATGTTTAAATTTTAGGTCATTCACAATGTAAGGCTCAATTTTATATTTTGACCTTTCAAGGCAATTCCCAACTAATTTTATTTTATGATATAAATATAAACAAAAATATTATTTAGATTATTAATATAAAGTATATATTATTAAATTCTCTTATCAATTTTGTAAAAATAAATTTATTTAACTTTTTCACAAATATATGTAAATTTATATGGTTTAATTTAATTATTTGAGTTAATTGTTAAATATAGTTAACATTTTTATCATAAATATGTAAACTATAGATCATAATAAAATACTAAGGTTCACATATTTATCTCAAAAAAAATAAAGTTAGTTGAACCTTACATTGAAAAATTAAATAAAAAAAATGATTCTTAAATCGAGAATAACCACAAGTGTAAAGTCTTCTAATAAGAAAAATAGAATTCATGCCTTAAATTAATATAGTTTCAAAAAGTTGGGTTGTAATGGACATTTTCCATTTTAAAATATGTGATTTGATGAGCATGAACAGAAATTGATATAATATTAATATTATTTAATTATATTAACAAAAAGTAGGTAAGTAGCTTGGAGTAAAATTAATTTGGATTTTGAGTTAAAAATATAAAAATCAGTACATTGGATCAAGTCAGACCATTGTTCTATGGAATAATGAAGTTGTTGGGTGGTAGCAAATCTCACCTAATTATCTTTTAAATAATTTTAGCTGCACAACACAATCTTTGTAGCCACGTGATAATTATGGCAAATTAATTATTCCTAAAAAAATAATGTTAGAATTTTATAATATTGATTATGCACAAGCTTTTGTACGACACGACATAATTAAGCAGACGACTCGTCATATTATTTGAACAAAAATGTATATTTACACGACACGACATAATTAAGCAAACGACTCATCATATTATTTGAACAAAAATGTATATTTTTATACTATTTAATACCATATAATTCTATTTGTATCATTTGTTAAAGTGATATTCTTTTAGCAAAAATATATACATATTCTACATATTTATATATATATAAAAAAAAGTATGTAGGTTTAATAATGAGACCAATTAAGTACTACACCAATCGCCATTATTATGTAAGAACTGAATCAACCAAACCAAGGATATATCCTCCGTATATATAATTGTCGAATACGCTGAACCTACGTGGCTGCTTCTTGTGCTTCGAAATCCTACTTGGCGAAAAATCATGCTTCGTAATTAGGTTTGGACAAATAATATTAATAATTAATAATCTAGGTTTCAGATATTCCGTAAATTTTATTTAGCTAACTTAGTTATTTTAATATCACTTGTACTAATATGACCCTTTAATTCTTTGAAATTTTACATAGTGAGGCACTAAGTGACTAATATATCCTGACTTTTGATTTGTTTCCTTCAATTTAACTATTGAATTATAAATGTATTTTAAAAGTTGATAACTTTTGTATTCTTATCGATTTTACATATATAATATATCAAATTAATCATTCTTTTCATGATCTTTGATTTGACATCCATATTGTATATATAAAATAAATAAATTACATTTATCTTTATAGTAATAAAAAATAATAATATTTATTAAATTTATTAGAAAAATAAAATTATTTCTCAGTTGATATATTTATGTTTAATGTAGTTATATGTTGTAAATTAAAAAAAATATTATAAAATAACACAAGTAAGTCACAAAAATAAAAAATCTCATACTAAATATAAATATATATATTAATAAAATGTATTTAAATTTTTAACTACTTTTTCTCGATAATTTTAGATTTTAAGAAAAAAATTAGTAAGGACCTGTGTAATACACGGGCATTGTAAAAAAAAAAGGAACCAAATTAAGTGGCAATGCCCAAATAATTAATGAACCCAATAAATGGAGAAATTCTCTTTTGCTCTTTGAGCTTTTCAAAGGAGAATATTCATTAAATGTCCCATGTTATTTAAAACACGACCTATTTCAGTTTTCTATTAAATGCAATTTAACTAACCTGAACGTTTTTCTCTACTCTCATCTCAAAATATGTTATAGTATGTCTAACCAGTAATCATTAGATATACACAAAAATTATATGGAGGCGATCAGATTGTTTTTTATGGAGTCATTCATCACTTAATATATCGACACTTGTTCAAATTGTATTTATTGTAGGACACGTGTCAATACACTACTGATAAATAAGTGGATGACTCCCTGTAGATACTCGTACTTTCTCATAAAAAGTGCATACTTGTAATATTGTGGAATTCTTTACTTTGATTTATATTATAATAATTTGAAGTATTGCATTTAAGTGTAATAATATGTGTACGAGTACTAATACCTATGTACAACATGAGTGTTGAGTTAATGAATATATGTGTAAAATTATTTATATCTAATATCAAACCTAACTCTAGAGCAATAATAATATAAAAACAATATAACGAAACATGGATTTTCGCCATGTCAACATCTGAAGCGTGAGAATCTTCCACCTAAACTCAACATGTTTTGAATTAATATATAGGGAGAATTTATTGAAAATGTATGGTTGACGGAAGACATGCGAAAGATAGATTATATATATATATATATATATATATCTCAAATTCTAAGGAACACAATTACGTACTTGGTATAATAATAATAATAATAATAATAATAATAATAATAATACAATCCTCCTTTTTTTCTTTTGAGAATTTGCTTACTGATTTTTTATTTTTTTTTTTGAAACACGCATCTCTTGTAGAAAAGTCTCTCTATGTCTTGTGATATTCGAAATTGGTCAACCATAGTCCATAGACAAATTGATACTATATCTTGGGTACATTTTATATGGTATCCATACTGTATCTTATTTTTGCTTTTGGCACCAAAAATTTCACCTAATCAAATCTTGTACTCAATTAAAAAATGAAATAAAATTAAGAAAAAAATTAAAAAAATATGTAGAAAATCTCTTTTCAAATTAAAAGATCATATGAGGCCAAAATATCAAATAGACTAAGGTGTATTGTTTCCCATGAAAAGAGAATCAACGAATATTGTCAGTTGAAGTATTCGTCACGCAGCTGCGCACCACCAGAATTTGAAAACTTCAGCGAGGTTCGATCGACGATTAGGAGACGCCGTTGAATTATTATAAAAATATCTCTTTATACATATGTGTTTCACAATAATCAAACAATAAGATTTTTCGTGAATTTTCAAAACAATTTCCTGCACACTTCTTTATTTTTTCAATACTCTAACAATGGTTTTAACATAGTTTGAGGTATCGTATGATGAAATTAAACATGTTGTTGGATAAAAGCTTCAAAATGATATATGATTTGTTGACCATCACTGTTGGTAGACGAGCGACGAATTAAAACTAACGGTGATGGCCGACGACGACAGGTGGTGGCGAGATGGTCAGATAATCAATTCTAGTACGTTATTAATCTAATTACTCTATGATTTAGTTGTTTTTATTAATACACGAATTAGAAATTATATGTAATATATATTTTTAATAAAATAAAATAAATTATAGTGTAAATTAAAATAAAGATATAATAGATATTTCGCAAGTATGAAGTGAACATATTAGGTAGTGAACATTTTTTTTTTTTTTTTTT